TGATGATGATGATGATGATGATGATGATGATGATGATGATGATGATGATGATGGTATCGAATAAGCCAGCCACGCGTGACTAAGTTCAAATGAATTATGTTCACATGGACCATAAGGACTATGCAAAAAATGTATTTTATGGCAGAGGACAACAAGCACCAAGACTATTAAAATTCCGATGGGTTTTTGTGTGTGTGTGTGGAGGGGGGGGGTGTCCTGACCTGTAGCGTACGCTCTGGGCATATCTAAGCTACGGTGTATGCGTTTCTGGGGAGGGGAGTGGTCGGGGGGTACAGCTTTCTTTGTAAATATCCCCCCCTCCCCACACTGTCGCTTTGTATTTCAACTCTGAATACAATACTAGGCAGCCAAAAAGAAATTGGGTAGTTATTTATTTCTGATAGTTCTAAGGAATCGTTTTACTCTGTATAGCGCAAAAAACCCACCCATTTTTGCCTTTAAGTAGCATGACGCATCAGTTCACATTAGACTTGCCATTAAAAGTCGCAACGATCGCGCCATATTGCAAGCAACAGCAGGCCGAACAAGTCAACCGAAGTTTGCAGCCTTTGTTTTTCCTAAGTTCCCTTTGCATGCTGAGATCACATTTCAGATTAGTAAAGAGCAGAGATCGTTTTTGTATTGAGCATTACCTTGCCGCCAACGCTTCATCCCGGACATTTTGTAAGTTTCACTCAAAGTACGGAAAGAAAGCCAAGGTGCACTCAAGGCTTTCTTTGGTGTCATGGGTAGAGGTGTTCTGTCAGTTTGAATCTATAGAGACTCAGAATTAAAAATTCATTGAACAAAAGACCACTTCATGTAAAAAAAAACCCAGTTTGCACCCCTTTAAATGTCTTCTTCTTCTTCTTCTTCTTCTTCTATCCCGTGGTTGGGGCAACCGTTGGGGCATCACTGCATTAGAAAACCAGCTCTTGCCATCTATTTTTGTCCTCTGCTCTCCTCAGATTGTCACCCATCGTCTTTCCTGTCCACTCTGTAATGTTGTCCTCCCATCATTTAAATGTCACCAGGATACAAAATTCAGTTGTCGAGTCTCATATGAGACGTATGTTCACTGAAAATGTCTACGGCTAGGACTCTCGTATACCCCAACGGTCTGTTTTCCCCAGGTAGATCTCCACCTATGACAGTGTCATTTTCATGTTGTGGGGTTGACATGGAGCAGAGTATGGCAATGTGTTCATGGTTCCTAGGTCGTCTTGAAAAGCGTGAACATTTCCTCAATGACATTTGGTTCAGTGGCAGGCCCCATGTTCACCTTTCAGGAATGTAAACTCCACATATGCTGTCTGTTGGACACCTCCCCCTGCACCTATCACTATCATATCTAGAAGACACTTGTAATGACAAGTTTACAGTGTGTGCAGTTTTCACCGTCTATGATTTGACGTGTCCTCTAGTTTGGCCTCCACAAGCGACGCGTCAAAAAATGTTTTGAATCCAAAGGAGCACATGTAGAGCACATGTAGAGCACATGTAGAGCACATGTAGAGCACATGTAGAGCACATGT